ACACGACCAGACATACACTCTGTGGGCGGAGGCAGGTGATCACCGGTTGAAGGAGCTTGGTGAACTGCCGTGGAGCAGATGCCAGGCCAAACGGGACAGCCGCAAATCGGTACTGCCGACTTTGCCACTGCACCGTCAGGAAGCGACGGAGGGTTGGATGCACTGGCATGGACAGGTATGCGTCGGTGCAGTCCACTTTCACCATAAAATCGTTCTTTATCAATAGCTCTCGCAGCGTGGCGATACCTTCCATTTTGAAATGGTGGTATTGCACAAACTGGTTCAATTCCCGCAGGTCGGTCACTGGGCGCATCTTGCCATTCTTTTTCGGTACGACAAACAGTGGACTGAGAAAGCCAGGTGTACCAGGGGGCACCTCCTCCAGGGCACCCTTTTCTTGCAGTGCCTGTACTTCCTCCGTCACCACTGCAGTCAACTCTGAGGACATCAGCCTGGGGAGTGTCTTCCGCCACTGGACTGGTTCCCGACTGAACTCCAGGCAAAACCCTTCCACATATTGCGTGACCTCTGGGTCTCCCATCAGCTGACGCCAGCGTCTGGTCTGACCACCGATTCGGCCGCTCGGACGTCCCTGGACCTCCGAGTCGCTCACCCTCCAGTCTAAGCCCCACTCGGGTAGCTGGGTGCATTGATATTGCAGGTCTGGTGGGAGCGCCTGCCAGCACACCTCCGGCAGGAAACGTTTCAGGCATTGTTTGGCTTCGGAGGGCCGTGCTTGTTGCCGGGCTGTTGTTGCGACCGGGGCTGCCACTGCGGCTTCTTGGGGTAATGTGAACGGTGAGGGGCATGGCTTGAAAAAACGGCTCACGGGAAGCCTCCAAAGGCTTGCTGCGTTTGGCGTTGCCGTCCCCCTGATCTTGTCCGAAGCGTGACGACCGTCTGTCTTTCCCAGCCACATGACTATGACTTGGCGGCAGCTTACGCAGTACGTCAGCCCAAGCCTTGTCTGTTTCCGCCTGCTTCGTTATCTGCTCGTTCAGGGCAGGGCCAAATAATGACTGTCCCGGGTTAGCAAACCCTGCAGTGGCCAGGCTGGAGAGCTTGGGGTGGATCCTGGATAAATAAATGGAGCACCGTTTTATGGTGAGTGCCTGGTTAGCATCTCCCAGGAGACGCAGTGCTGCCGTAGCGGCCTCCCGGATCTGTTGACCTTGCTCACGGAGGCAAGGGTTTTGCGTGTGTTCAAGTACGTCACACAACGGACCCACCACATTCAATAATTTCGCCTGCGTCAGGTACTGAGGCCGATCGGGCCTAGCCTCCGAACGAGGCGGCTTCTTGTCAGCCCCATACTCCATGCGGGTGACTTGCGCATCCAAAGCCGGGACTAGTGCTGCTGGAGTGTCAGGGCGAGGGTAGCGACGGGAAATGGCCTGCCGGGATTTGCGTCGGAGTTCTGAGCGAAGACATGACTCAAGAAACTTAGCAGTTTCGGGCGAGACATGACGGGTAAAACTTTTCTCTTCCTCATCCCCGTCCTCCGCTGGCCAGTCAGTGTTGGGACCCACACCGTCGGACACCAGGCTATGTGTGCTACCGGAGTCCAAATCATCCGCCTCCACACCCGCTAGCGTCGGAAAAAGCGGCAGATGGCTTAATTGCGCCAGATCGCCTGGATCTTCAGGACCACTCGGGTCTGAGGGGAGAGGTCGTAGCCTAGGTGGCCCTCTCGAGGTCGACCGAGCAGCGAGTGGCTGCAGCGTGGGAAAATTTGTCAGGTCGCCATCAACGGACCCACCACGCGTATGCTCAACACTGGCTCTGGAAGCCTGAGCGGGCTGACTACTGCAGACAGTAGACCTCGCTAACGAGGAGTCAGCCGATTGGGAAGCAACCAGGATCAGGAGTGGATCAGTTTCCTGGGTACATGTCCCATCTACGATCCGCGAGTCGTGCTCTTGCCCTGACTCCAAATTTCCCACAGGCATGGACGTGTTGTGGCCTTCCAGGGATGCCAAACGCCTCTCCAGTGGGCGCAAGGCATGGTCCAGAGCCTGCTGGACTAGCGAAAAAACATCCTGAGGTGCGGAATCCATACCGAAAACTCAGACAACAGAAAACTTCAACTACACACTTCCTCGAGCAAAGAAAAAAGGTGAAGAAGAAGCTAGAGTTCCCGCGTTTGAGCTGATGGATCACGTGTGGAGCAGTTTTCCTTACGAAAATTAGTTTTTCAAATTTTAGTAAAACTGCGTTTTGAAAATGCTATCTCGAGCAAAGGAAACCCCGATTTCGGGTTGGTATACACTGTTATATCGAAGCTCGAAGCTCCGATATGCAATCGTGGACTTGTAACACTTTGAAGTCATTGAACTACTTCCAAACGTTTTATCGACATCAACAGGATTACGATTTCAGTACAATACGATGCAGGATGACCTTATCACGACAACCCATGACTACAATTATAAACACAGAATTAACAAAAACATCTGCGGCAATCACCTGGTTACAATTCTCAAGTAAATGTGATTTCGGGTTTGGAAATCTGAATTTTCTGAAAGACAAGACAATTTTATGACAGAGTCATGAAACTCTGCAACAGCAACATCCACAGAATGACCTGCGTATAAGAAAAAGTATCAACCCCACTACCCATATGATTCCCCTGCAGAAGAACATGAATAATAGAATATGCAAGACTAGTCTTAGCCTAGTGCCATTTTCTGCAAGAACAGGCTTGCACATCAATGCGTATAATACGGTATTGAATTTGATATGATGCACATGTAGAGGCGCTGGGCCATCATTTAGTGCATTCCACTGGTGACATATTTATTATAATAATATCCTTAGCTAAAAAAAAACAAAAGAAATTATAGGAATAAAAACTTCTTTATGGCTAGCTATTGGCGGACTATGCTCGGCCAATCGTCAAATTATGCTTTTGATTATGCCACAATTATGCCAACAACTATGCTGAATTATGCTCGGTTCCACTATGTATTCACGCTGTACATAGAGGATTGAGAAGCCACGCATACACACACGTCCATGCCCTAAGCATAATTTTTGTCTAAACCGAAAGGTTATGCCGACCTTACACGTTGGTATCCGTATAATATTTTTATTATGCCGGAGCATAATGTTTTGACGAAATCCCAAGATTATGACAAATATTATACCAGCATAAACCGCCAACGGCTGTGACAAGGAGTCGTAACTTTAAAAAGCTGTATTATGCCCTAAGCATAATGTTTTGTTTAAACCGAAAGATTATGCCGACCTTACACGTTGGAATCCGTATAATTATGCCGGAGCATAATTTTTGGACAAAATCCCAAGATTATGCCAAATATTATGCTGGCATAATCCGCCAAGGGCTATTTATGGCAGTTTTCTAAAAATCTTTATTGTGTTCTAGTACATGGACCCTATCTAAAAAGTAAGAAATTAACGAAATGTGACAGCCGAAAATTAAAAATTCACACAAAACCTGCACAATAATCACAACACTTGAGGATCTTAGTTTAAAAAAATACTGCTTTCAACACTTGTTTAGTCATCTAAGCCTCAGCAGCAACATAAGCCTTACCGTCAAGAAGGTGAACTCGCGTTCTTTGCACACTGTTGTTGGCAAGGGCAAAGAGATACGAATGGATCTAAATCCGAATAAAATCAGCACACGTTTCCGTAGACGAAAGGGTGAGCATAAGCAAAAGAATCGAAGGAAACTGGTCAACTCAGAGATCACCTGTCATTGAGTATTCCGTAAAAGGAGGCCTCGACAGCAGAAAAGCTAAATTAAGAAAAGAGATCCTGTCAGCTTTTCCATTATTCATTGTAGTCCACCTAAAATCCGCACACTTTTAGTCAATGAAAGAGTCAACACAAGCAAATGAATAAAAAAAATAAAATAAAAGGGAACTGGTCAACTCACCTGTCATTGCGTAATATGCCGTGAAAGGAGGCCTCAACAACATTGTGAACATACATAGAAATTACTAGCAGTTCATTAATCTGTAAATAATCGACGCAGAGACAACAATTTTATAATAGCTATAAAGAGTACAAATTCTGCTGTCATCGCCACACTACAACAAAGTCATGAAGGTTTACCAAAATCGATTTTCTTGTCACAATCATCAGTGGAAAGGCGTGACTGAAGAGTAACCATGCTGAATCAATAATTAATATACATTCAATAATGTGTTACGAGAACAAAACAAAGTGCTAAAATTGAATGAGGGAAGGTGAGACAATAGAAGTGAAGTGAGAGCTAAGTGAAACAGGGGTGAGGAACTAATTACAACGCTAGAACTGTGTAATGAGACAAACAATCATGCTGTGCACCTACGAAAACAATCTTAACGCAACTACATGTTTCTTCTGTCTACAAAGATCAGGCTTATGCAAACGAATGCAAACAGCCTCAAGTACTTACAACTGACTAGCGTACCGTGCACGACAAAGAACAGAAAACTAACATCATCATACACCTGCAGACACTTAGGGTGAGACAACAGATGAAGAAAACGGCAGACTTCTTACGATCACAATCACCATCCGATTCCTCGTCTCCACCAACCGCAACCTCGTCCTCCGTCTCATCTTCCAACTCGTCTTCAATGTCGTCCCCCGTGTCATCGCCTCATCAACACCGATCGGTCCCAGGCTCGCTTCATGTTGCTTAACCTCTGTTCATCGACTCCTCCTTTGATCTTGATGGTAATAATTATTTGTTACCATTGTTGTTGTTGTGTAGTGGATGCACATCCCACTGTTTGTCATTGTATCCTTTTATGTAACATGTATGCATTCATCCGGCCGCGCTGTGCGACATGCCAGTTGTACCGTACGCACTTTAGCTGTACTTGCCTGCCTGGCTTTTCCTTTGACCTCTCTGTCGTTCTCTGGATTCCCACACACTTGTGATTTGTAGTAACGAAGCTAGTTACAAGATGTCTTTGGTGCGTTTGTAGAACCACTACATGGTGTCAGAATTGGTTTTCCTGTAGTCTTTGGCCTCGTGAGCGGTGATGGCTCGTTTCAACCCTCCAGCGCCTTTCGACTTCAGCTCACCGGACCAGTGGCCCGCGTGGAAACTCCGTTTCACCCGTTTTCGTGCCGCCACCAAACTGAGTTCCGACCCGGGAGAAACTCAGGTGGCCACTTTGTTGTATGCTCTCGGACCCAACGCCGACTCCTTGTTCGAGTACCAACTCGGACTATCCGAGGACGACAAGAAGAAATATGACGAGGTCGTCAGTGCTTTCGACACGTACTTCCGCCCCTCTACCAATGTTGTTCATGAACGGGCTAAATTTGAACAGCTTGTACAACAACCCGGCCAGACCGTAGAGGAGTTTGTCCGTGCTCTGTACAAAGCCGCAGAGTATTGTGAGTTTGCTGGCACGAAGGATGAGCGTATCAGAGACCGCTTCGTCGCCCACATGCTGGACAAGCGGGTGAGTCGGGAGCTGCAGATGAAAGACAAGAGCGAGCAAACTCTCGCCAAAGTTGTTGCGTTCGCACGGCACGCCGAAACTGTCCAGCAACAGGTTGCAGCCCAATCGCGCAGTGGCTTGGCCGCCGCCAGCTCGATTTCAGACGATGATGCCTCAGCCTCAGCTGTCCAGTCGCACCGTGGTGGTCGATCTATGCCGAAGAGCAGACCGCATGGTAGCTACAAATCTGCAGCAACGCCGCCTGCGACCGAATCGAAGTGCCCGAACTGTGGTGGAAGCCACCACTCGCAACGCGATCAGTGCCCAGCCAGAGGCCAGTGCTGCAAAGCCTGTGGCAAGCGCAACCACTTCGCGCGAGTTTGCCGATCGAAACCGTCCACCTCTGCCGTCACGAACGACTCTCCGGACTCTCTATTTGTTGGCCACACGACGTGCGCACAAAGTGTAAGTGATTCACCCTGGTTGGCAGATCTAGCTATCGGAAAGAGTGTAGTCCAGTTCAAGCTAGATACTGGAGCTGATGTCTCTACCATGTCCGTGCAATCATACAATACACTGCAGCCCAAGCCGTCCTTATCTGCTACTAGTGCTCAGCTGAGAGGAGCGAATGACCAGACTATGCAGGTCCTGGGTGTATTTGAGGCTCACTGCTCCTTTCAATCCCAGTCCACTACCATACCCATCTTTGTTCTAGATGGTGCCAGCACTAGCCTGCTCAGCCGATCTGCGTGCACAGCACTGGGTCTAGTCCAGCGTCTGGCTGAAGTGCAAGGTCCAGTCCCACTCGTACAGTGTATGGTTGGTCCTGCTGCGCAGATTCACTTGACTTCCGACGCCACACCGTATCACTGCCTCACAGCTCGCAGAGTTCCTCATCACCTGTATTCGAAAGTACGTGAAGAACTGCACCGCATGGAAGATGGCGACATCATTGCGCGTGTCGACGAACCCACAGACTGGTGTTCGCCTATGGTGCCCGTCCTCAAACCTAACGGCAAGGTACGCATCTGTGTCGACCTGAAGCGTCTTAATGCGTCTGTCAAGCGGGAGACATTTCAGCTGCCAACGTTAGAAGATGCCCTGTCTTCACTGGCCGGAGCGACTGTGTTCACGACATTGGACACTGCTAACGGATTCTGGCAAGTCCCACTCAGTCCCGACTCTGCCCGTTTGACCACCTTCATCACGCCGTTCGGCAGGTTCTACTTCAAGCGACTGCCATTCGGCATCACATCAGCACCTGAGATTTTCCAGAAGCGTCTCACCAACCTTCTGGACCAGCTCCCCGGCGTGTTCGTCTACATGGACGATATCATTGTCTCTGGCCGTACGCGAGAAGAACACGACCGTAACCTAGCTGCCGTACTAGACATCCTGCAGAAAGCCAACGTCACGCTGAACATGACGAAATGTCACAAGCGTCAGGCCGAAGTGAAGTTCCTTGGTCACATCTTCTCCGCCAAAGGTCTCCACCCTGACCCAGCGAGAGTGTCCAGCGTCGCTAATCTGAAGCCGCCCAAGAACGTCACGGAACTGAAGCGCATTCTCGGCATGTTCGCGTTCATGTCACGCTTCATTCCCAATCTCTCGGAAGTCAGCGCTCCACTGCGTCTTCTACTGGGGCATGACACCGCATGGGAGTGGTCTGCTACACAACAACAGGCCCTGGACAAGCTCAAACAGCTTGCCACCAATGCGCCCTGCCTCACGTTCTTCGACCCAACCAAGCCCACGGTCATCAGCGCTGATGCCAGCAGTTACGGCTTGGGAGCTGTCCTATTGCAGGAGCATGACGACGGAATGCGCCCCATTGCATTTGCCTCACGCAGCCTCACCACTACTGAGCAACAGTACGCGCAGATCGAGAAGGAGTGCTTGGCTGTTGTCTGGGCTTGTGAGCGATTCCACGGCTACATTTACGGCAACTCGTCCCTCACTGTCCAGACGGATCACAAACCACTCATCCCGCTGATCAATACGCGTGATTTGAACCGTGTCCCGATGCGATGTCAACGCCTCCTGATGCGCCTGCTCACGTACAATCCAGCCGCCGTGTATGTCCCTGGCAAAGAGCTAGTTGTTGCCGATGCTCTGTCTCGCGCTCCGCTCGCCTGTGACGACACGCCTAGTCTCCAAGACGAGATCAGCATCAACCTCGCATCTTACATCGGCGAGATCGTGTCGGATGGTAAAGCCCGTGACATTGCTGACGCCACCACACAAGATGAGACGCTCAAGCAAGTCCTCCACTTCGTCCAACACGGATGGCCGTGCAACCCACGTGATGTCGACGACACTGTGCGCCCATACTTCCATGAACGCCAGTTACTGTCCTGTGAGCAAGGTGTGCTGTACCATGGCTTCCGCATTGTCATGCCACCCTCTCTGCAGCCTGAGATGCTCGAGAAGCTCCACGAGGGACATCAAGGTGCAACGAAGTGCAAGTCTCGCGCCCGCCATTCCATTTGGTGGCCAGGCTTGTCAAGGCAAATCGACACGATGGTCGCTACGTGTGAAGTGTGCACCAAACACCGCGTCCAGTCGACCGAACCACTGCAACCCGTCCAACGCCCAACACTGCCGTGGCACACGGTTGGTGCAGATCTGATGGAATTCAACGGCACGACTTACCTCGTCATTGTTGACTATCTCTCGCGTTACCTCGATGTCGTACCGCTGACTGCCACAACCTCGATTGCTGTCATCAAGCATCTGCACCGCATCTGTGCCGAGCATGGTTTCCCGTCCACCTTGGTTACAGATAACGGTCCTCAGTTTGCCAGCGAAGCGTTTACTGAGTTCTGCACAGCAAACGACATCACCCATCGCACTTCCAGTCCACGGTATCCTCAGTCGAATGGCGAAGCGGAACGTGCAGTTCGCACCGCCAAGAATCTCCTGCGGAAGGCCGAAAGCCTGCAAGATGCACTCTTGGCTTACCGCACGACACCGCTGAGCAACGGCTATGCCCCATGTCAGCTGTTGTATGGCCGCCAGCTCCGTACCGGTCTACCTGCAACGACTGAACAGCTGGAACCGAAATGGCCTGATCTCCCTAGTATTCTGGAATCGGAAACTCAGTCCCAGGAACAGCAGAAGTTGCACTACGACCAACGGCATGCAGCTAAGCCTCTCGCGACTCTACAGCTTCATGACCGTGTATTCATCACCGATCTCGAACGGGAGGGCAAGATAGTAGAGCAAGTGTCCAATCGTTCTTACCTCGTTGAGTCTGGTCACTCTACTGTTCGCCGCAATCGTCGTCACTTGATCCGACTGCCACTGCTAGAAGCAGAGAAGCCGACAGTCGAGGTTGAGTACGGTGGCACAGCAGCTGATCCAGTCCGTCGCTCTGCTAGAGCTCCTCAGCCTGTCAACCGCCTCATTGAATCATGCTAATTCAGCAACGTGCCGAGACGTATCTGCCGTCGTCTCTGCACATCACTCTTTCACTGCAACTTGCTCTACAAACAATACCTACATTATCGAATAGTCTTTGGACTCCTCATCTTCTCTATTATAGCCTGTTTAATCTCAGAGGGGAGATGTAGTGGATGCACATCCCACTGTTTGTCATTGTATCCTTTTATGTAACATGTATGCATTCATCCGGCCGCGCTGTGCGACATGCCAGTTGTACCGTACGCACTTTAGCTGTACTTGCCTGCATGCCTGGCTTTTCCTTTGACCTCTCTGTCGTTCTCTGGATTCCCACACACTTGTGATTTGTAGTAACGAAGCTAGTTACAAGATGTCTTTGGTGCGTTTGTAGAACCACTACAGTTGTTGTTGTTCCTGTTGTTGTTAAATCTTCTGTTCCCAGTGTCTTCGCCGGTGCTTGACATCCAGTATTGTAATAATTCATTGAATAATTAGCCGTTGATCATCTAGGTCTTTGAATGCATGATTGTTTGTCTCACTACACAGTTCTAGCGTTGTAATTAGTTCCTCACCCCTGTTACAATTAGCTGTCACTTCACTTCTATTGTCTCACCTTCCCTCATTCTATTTTAGCACTTTGTTTTGTTCTCGTAACACATTATTGAATAGTACCAACGCATATGGCCGATTGGTTTGCAGGCCTGCCTGCGAATCATGAGGTCCCGAGTTCGAGACCCGCGCTGGTAGCAGGGAGCGTGTAAATACTTTTTACGTGAGTAAAGACTTTTTATGCGTGGTGAACTGCGCCGACACCCACGGTCAACTGGGTACTCACAGCTCGGAGTGAGGGTAACAAGGATGCAGTTTACAGGGTTATGGGCCGTTACACGCCCGATTGGTTGAGAGACTCACCTACTCTCCCCTGACTCACTTGTGAGGTCTGCATTCGCCACTCAGGTGTGCAAGGCATAGGCATAGTGGTGGCCTGCGGAAGCGAAGGCTAGTTTGTATGTTTCTGAACATTCAAGCGATGCCAACGCGAATCCCGCGAATTATTATTATATTAATCATTCATTCAGCATGGTTACAACTTCAGTCACGGCTTTCCACTGATGATTAATAATAATAATAATAATAATAATTTTACAAGAAGTCGGAGGCGGATAATACTTTAATAACGAAGGTACGTGTTGGGTCGTAAGTATCCACGCAAACACACATCCAGTCAAAATAAGGCACTTGTCAAAGTATCCGAACGTTTTCGGTCCCTTCTCATCAAGGATTATACAGGGAATGGCTCAAGTTGGAAAGACTAAAACTTATATAGCGTAAAGATATGAGATAACAACACTCGTGACAAGGTGGAAAAAGTATCAAGTTCAGCACGACACAAAACTCGAAGGAAATAATAATAGCGACAAGAACATAGTGAGCAACTTAAGTTACATTGTTAACACCTCGACGAGGAGTAACACCAAACAATTGTAGCGACAACACATTTTCTTTCTGTACGCAAAGTTCAGGATCTAACTTACGGATATACAAAGCTTCTAACACAGCCAGATGCAACGCACATCTACCACGTGACAATATTGAGAACACATTATCACTGTACAACTGGTAGATGTGCGTTGCATCTGGCTGTGTTAGAAGCTTTGTATATCCGTAAGTTAGATCCTGAACTTTGCGTACAACTTTGCGTATAGCTATTAGTTCATAAATCAATGATTAAAAAAAACATAGCATAGCAGTAGCAGCAGATATGATTATAGGCATGCAATCTATTCACAACAGTCATCAACATTAGAGTAGTGAGCATGCAAGCAGCAAGCAAAAACATAATATGTACAAAAAGAAAACCAGGCAAAAAACATATCGATGGTCAGGGTTTAGGGAGGGGGTGTACAGGGGAACAAAACAATACAAAACTTCACATTCTCTCAAGAATTTACAACAAATTTACTGAGTTTACATGACTGTGTGATCGAGTTACAACACAACAAACAATTTCATAATATTACACTCACACTACCAGTCTACATTCTCACACACCATGCAAGTCACTCCGACACTCTCTGTGAACACAGTGACAAGTTGAGAACGAACATTCTCACTAAAGCCACAGCCATACACCCACAGTACACGTAACTGTGTACGCACCTTCACTGCTTCAATGAATCTCAATTCATCATCCACGCTACCCACAAATTCATTCCCATCCAAAAACAACACTTCCAGCTGTGTACATTGCTCCAACATGTCACAGAGTACAGACAGCGGTGCAGCACTATCACTATACATGTACATGACATCGACCTTGTGTACATTCTTACACTGACTAAGTGCACGGCACACCGACACAAAACCACTCACACCAACAGGGTTAACACTGACATTCACAACCACAAGACTGGCAGACATGGCTGAAATCAGGGAGGACAATGCCTGACCATCATGAACACAATTATCGAATAGATCTAGTACGCTAACACTGCTACACCTCTGTAAGACTGCTGATAAGCTGTGAAATGACTCATGGCCAATGCTACAACCGTAGAGGTTGACTGCCTCCAAATCACTACATGTATAGCCACACAGTAAAGAACTGAGAGCCACACATTCATGAGAAGAAAGAGAAACGCCAAAGAGATCGAACTTTGATGCAAGCATTGCACGAAAGAAAGGATGTGTCCAGTTGCAGGACGCAACGTGATACTCTGCATGCTCATGATATGCCACCACAAGATGAACAAACAACCTGCGTATGGGGGATTCCCTAAGAGAAGTGGCAGCATCAGCTAGACTTACAATGCGAGAAGGAGCAGCTTGCAGGCATTCACGACTCAGCAGCATAGCAGCGGGATCAAGGAGACTCTCGCAGGTCTGCGCTAGCTCGGCATCCACCTGGCATAGCGCTTCCAACAGCACAGTGCCATTTGCAACATTGCCGTTCTCAATCCACACCGTCAGGAGAGTCTTTAGGAATAGCGAGTCTGTGGGCTCTCGGCTGATGGGCATGGAACGGCGCACACGTTGCCCACCATGGCCCTTGCCACGGTCATGCCGAGGAATGAGGAGAATGTCGGCGAGGACTGCCATGTGCTCAGCGTTCAGTATCTGGCAAAGATGATCGTGGACCTTTGCCATCTCCATCTCACCGGTCAGGACACTTGAGTCGTTGCGCATGTCCTCGGCTAGCTTAGCGGCGGTGACAGCACGTCTAGCGGCAGTAGCAGCATGTTTGGTAGCCTCCTTAGTCGAGTCAGAAGCCCACTCCTCTTGCCCGTAGCTGCCACAACTGTTTGCCTCTTTGGTGGATTTGTCGGCCTCACCGCTAGGATCCAGTGGTATGGGATCCGCACACTGCACACGCCATAGCTCCTCCATGATGGTCAGTGACACGTCTTCCGGGCATAGAGCAATGAGAAACTTCCAGAACATTGCCATATGGCCATCGTACGCGCCCAGTCGCCGTACTAGTGCAATGGCGTGATGTCTTTCTTGCACAACGCATTCTGCCTGGAACCATGCCGCCAGGAACTCCTGCAGTGACAGATGATAGAAGCGGTATTGCCGAGGGTCCATAGACATCGTGCCCTGGCATGTCTGCAGAAGACCCAAGCTCATTCCATCCTTGCTCAAGTGGGAGTTGATTATGTCGGACGTGTTGAACACCATCCTTTTCACCAGCAGCATGCGAAACGCAAAACGCCCCAGTTCCTGTAGCGACTGGACCACTTTGCTTGGTGCCAGTAAAATCGATTCGCAAACCGCACCACTACGACTCGGCGCAGTAACGATTGGTACAGGGATGCGCTGCACTTCCACAAGCTTTTCCTGCTCTTGAAAAGCTCACATGTTAGGGCTGCAAACATGGGAGTTGCCATAAGACATGACATATCCGGCTTGCTCTGCAGCTCTGCCAGCAGAATTTCAGCGCGCTGTCTACCAAGAACCTTCTCTGTGTACTCCCTCACGTTCTCCGGTGAGAAACCCAGTACTTGGATCTTCTGCTGATATTTGCCACACTGCGATAGTTGATATGCATCCTGGCATGGACGGCTTGTGACGATCACGTGTGTCCTCACCATGCCCTCACGTTTCAGCAAGTCACTCATGAACAAACTGCAGCTGGCGAAATCACATTCATCCAAGCCGTCCATGATGACACATAGACGGCTTGGAGAATCTTTGAAGTAGTTTGCAAGCTCCAGTATCTCAGTCTGCGACAGGCCCTGGCTCGCCAGTTTCACAGCCAACAGCTCCGCAAGACTAGTGGCAGCTCTCACCTTTTTTTTACGAAGCTCCAATCCCAAGACCAGATCGAATTCCTCCTGCCATAGTTCGCCTCTGCTCCACAGGTATAGAACCATGAGCAGAAACACTGTGGTCTTGCCACTACCAGCAGATCCGTACGCAAGTACATTCCGTAACACCTTGCCACACAGCTTTCTCGACTCGGTCGCTGCAACTGCTACTGCTGGTGCAGATTTTCCTGCTGAATGGGAAACGGCGTCAAAACTCGAACCTGCGGCACGAAACAGGTTCTTCAATTCAATTCGATCGGCTTTGCTAAATTGCACTGCGTGTTCACGTCTCTCGGCATACGTCGAGAACGCTTCATCAAAGTCTCTTTTCAATTCCTTTTCAGACACAAACGCCAAATTCACGAATATTTGTTCCAGCGGAATGTGATCATCAGAAGCCAGGCCGCCGCTCAGCTGGACTCCTGACTCTTCGGCCTGTTCCAACAACTTCTTTTTAGCTTTCACCAACGAAGGCAGCAGAGCCTTGCGCTTTGCGGCGGGCTCCTGAGCCTTCGCATCCATCGCTTTCAAAAAACAACAACAGGTGTGTGTGTGTGTCTGTGTGTGTGAAAGACGAAAGCCAAGTAACGTTTCTCAGTTCAGTGATGGAAATCTGATGACCTGAATGAAGTGAACGGAACAACTCTGAGTGCAGGACTGTGTGGTAGATCTTTCTCAGTACAATCAAACTGAAATCAGGGTGAACACGGGGCCGCGGCCGGGTGCCGGGGCTGCGCCGTGCATGCACTTTTCTTTTGCGCGACTCCGATTTCACCGTGCCTCTTGTAGTAAAATTCAAGAATTGCGCTCATGCCTTCAGTCACTTTTGCTAGGGTGTTCGGATCTCCTCGATTTTAGTCTCATTGGAAAGAGTAGGATAAACTAGCCGGGAAATATATAAGGTTTGTCTAAATCCGACCAGACGTTCAAGAGTTATGATCGTTTGAAGTGCGCTTGTTGGCACTTTTGCTGGAACAGTTTTGATGCAGGCCAGTGTCACAAAACCGGGAAATTCAAAACCAACTAGAACAAGATGAAAATCAATTTCGTTCAGGGTCTTTCAAATTTTCACAGATGATAGCCAATAGAGAGCTTCCATCACTTGATCAATTCTTTTGGTATTCCATCTGGCCAAATTCAAATTACGCCCATAGCAACCACCATAGCAACGCATACAAATTAGTCGAAATAGATGCGAAAGATGTAACCCTTCACAGGGTGAAGCTAATCGGAATACGGGTACTGCAAAGACGCATCACCAGGAGGAGATTACAGTTATCTACCCCATGTAGATGAAGCATCCAAGAAAATAACATACGCACTCAGCCGAAACGGCACCCGCACTCGGGCATGTTGCGCCGCGGCCCGCGGGACCGGATGCATGCAGCCAATTAACAGGTATGCTGCACCATTGCAACACGATGTAAGCTTCAGCCAGGCCAAGGCAGCAGAAGTCCTGCCAATCATCAGCTTTTGAAGAACAACTTGTTCCCAGTCATATACGGCGCGTGCAGCACTTCGGGGCAATTGGTGTCGCACGTCACATGTAATTCATTCATACGATTTGCACAATCAACAGACAGTTCATTTATCGGATGATTGTGCAAGCGTAATTTGGATGTAAATTATAAAGTCGACAAATACATTGGCCCTACATTGCTCATGCTATGTGGATGACAATGTACTCCAGACACGGTGCATACGGCATTGCGTAGCTGCACTGCGTTAGCGCGCTGCAATTTTGCAAATCCTCAGAGTGTCAATTCTGTGCAGATTTTCAGGTGCATATTGAACGCAGTATTGGCAGGAAATCTGTTCTTGTCTGCACAACGGCTTTCTCCACTCTCCAGATACAGCGACCAGAGGTTTATCTGATGTGGTAGCTCAGCGAAACTACAAATAAACAGCACTACAGCCAAGTCCATCAACTCCATGTACATGTACATGTACTTAACCCTGTGTCCCTATGCCAACAATACGACTCGTCGGTTCGGATGACCAACCCTTTGTCTCGGAGAATCTTGTCAGGGGATGACTCCATCGGTGACTCGGTAGTGTTAATCAGATCGGCCAAGAGAGACGCCAAGGCATCTTCTCGACGTCATCAGAAACTGGAATTCGACGCGATATCGGGCAGTGCGTCGGAGTCGCTACGACATGTCATAGACGTCGCGAAGGAGAAAGGGTCGTCGAGCTGGCTGACGTGCCGTCCACTTAAGAAATATCATTTTAATTTAACAAAGGGAGAGTTTTGGGACGGACTCTGCCTCCGTTACGGATGGACACCGGCCAGGGTACCGTCACACTGCTCTTGCGGCCAAGAGGCAACTGTCGCCCATTCCCTGTCGTGCCCCTTTGGAGGGTTTCCCTCCATTAGACACAATGGTATTCGGGACGTCACGGCCCGGCTGCTGGACGAGGTGTGCACCAGTGTGTCCATCGAGCCCTTGCTGCAACCGCTGACGGGGGAGCGTCTTCGCTACCGGACCGCAAATGTGGAAGACCGTGCCCGGTTGGATGTCGCTGCCAATGGTTTGTGGGGCAGTCGTTTTGAGCGTACACTTATTGATATACGGGTTTTTAATCCTCACTCATGCTCAAATCGATCTGCACCACATACTATTGTGTATCAGCGATATGAAAAAGAAAAGAGAAGGCACTATGAGGAGCGGGTGAGGCAGGTTGAGCAAGCCTCCTTTGTTCCGGCGGTCATTTCAGCCAGTGGCGGAATGGGTCCAGCATCAACAGCACTGTACAAACGAATTGCTCATCTGTTGGCGGAGAAGAGGGGTGAGCATTACTCTCATGTTATGGCATTTGTTAGATGCAGGATTTCCTTCAGCCTTCTGAAATCCTGTATCATGTGCATTCGCGGTTAGAAGCGTTTAAATTTTGGTTTGAAATTTGCACCCTCCTGCGGAGCCCACGCTGCTTTGGCAGTGGCGAAGGCTCGCTTGCCGACGTAACCGTCGGAGATCATCATGAACAATGGACTGACTAATTATTCACTTGTCCTGTCTTTATATGTTGGACTCAGTAGAGCGTCCAGCCCCTATATGATGTCCAACCCCTATATAGAGTCCATTGGTCCAAAATCCACTGTACGGAGTCCAAACTTGGAACCAACTGTGAGCTCGAAGTTTAGATAAACATCACTCCCTGTATAGAGTCCAGCCAATTGACTTCACCCTATATAGAGTCCAATGGTCCAAAATCCACTGTACAGAGTCCAAACTTGGAACCAACTGTGAGCTCGAAGTTTGGATAAACATCACTCCGTGTATAGAGTCCAGCCAATTGACTTCACCCCTATATAGAGTCCACTGGTCCAAAATCCACTGTACAGAGTTCAAACTTTGAAATCAACTATAAAGAGTCTTAACGTTGACAACACCAGGCAATTAGGCATTAACTATACACAGTCCAAAATTAAAACACACACACACAGGCACCCCCACCCACACGGTAAGAAAACAATAATAAAGAACCAGGAACCGGAAAGGGAATAGGCTCTGATGGAGAGCCAAGGATTTATTTACAGGACAGAAAAGAACAATGAAAAGAGGCACAATTGATGCAGAGAATTGTTATTATTATGAAATGACCCAAAGGCAATATGCCTATCGAGGTGTTCGTTAGATTGAAAGAACAGTACTAGTAGTACTAGTATTTACACAGATCATCACCGATAATACCGCTTGCGAGCGGGTCCTCGGTATGGCTCTGGACCCCTGTACCAGTCTTCTGGCACGGGGTCCAGAAACTGGTTGTGCCAAACGTGCACAGGGGAAACGTGACGAGGCCGCAGATGAGCCTCTGCGAAGGAAGCTTTGGCTCCACCATCATCGGCCTCAACTTCATACAGGAGGAATCCTCCCTCCTGCATATCATGGCGAACGACAACACCTTCGCGCCACTGTGGGCGAAGGGCAGCCACACCTGCAGCACCGCCAAGATTGGCAGCGCGGTAAAACCACACGGTTTCACCCACAGCATACTTGGCCTGCTCTGTCCGGCCCTCCGGGTTATTCGCCCATTGAAGTTCAACAGGATAGGACTCTGCGTCACCATACGCTTCATCTGAAAAGACACAAGAATTAAAGCGCAATTAAATAAAACATTGGTAAAAACTCATGAAATGCACACTTGTTAAAAAAAGAAGATACTCATTGTAGATGAGATAGGTATTGACAAGGAAATCTGTTTAAAAATACATGGTGTGTCAAATAATAAATAAAGCAACCTACCTTGGTCACACGAGGTTGGTGAGGTTGAAGAGGCAGCTGATACAGCTGTGGTAGGCGCATGTCGACCTACATGAATGAAGCAAGCGCAAGACACCATATTCAGGGTGGAAGTAGAAACTTTTTCTGAACAAAGGACAGAAATCAAGTAGCTACATTGCCAGTTCACACAAATCATATTGCCGTAATTCCATTTTCTGTACAAGTACCACACTCATAGGACTTCTGTATGTACAAGCACATGTTAGATGGTGCTGCAAAATATGAATAAAGCAACCTACCTTGGTCACACGAGGTTGCTGAGTCTGAACATGCAGCTGATATGGCTGTGCTAGGCACATGTGGACCTACATGAATGCAGCAAGTGCAAGACACACGATTTCGAGTGGAAATAGAAACATTTGGCATACAAAAGTATAGAAATATGGTAACTACATTAGTGACAGTTCACAAAAATCATATTGTCGTAATTCAATTTTCTGTACACGTACCACACTCATATGAGTTTCCTGTGTTGATTGTTTGAGAATCCAAAGGCTCAAGATCCATGTCGTAATCTAAAAATACAGGAAACAAAAGAACCATCAATTCGTGAATACGACAAATAAACTCAAACAGCTTGTAAACAAACAACAAACAACATGACACTGGAAAAGCACAACGTCATCATAATCAGCGTTATTTTGTCAACTTACCAGCTGCCAGTTCAAAGTTAGGTGCACATGAGGTTGCACCTGCTGTGCTAAGGGCATTGCCACACACATCTGTACAGGGAGACAATAGTATAGTTAGTGATCGTAAACATAACACAATCACTCTCCAGGGACAATACACCCACATTTAATGATATCCACAAAAGTTCAATAATTATTAAAAGTAGAATAAAGATCTAGTCATTAGAGACATCACTGCTTACTATCAACGACCTCCAACTCAGGCTCACAGATGCTTGCAGCAGCGAGCGTACCTCCAAGGGCATGGGAGGCATCATAAGCTGGGCCCGTGATTCCGAGCACATCACTGGATACACCTACAAGCCACCGCACAAAACACACAGCCCCAAAATTAAAAGAATGACTGAACACAACTGATCAGCCAGCATGCATGTACATGTACTTTCAACAAATACCTGTTGAGAAAGCAGAGGATATATTGCTAATCAAGATTATGAAACTCACTGCTATCGTCAACATCAGAGTCACCGTCAATATCAAGGTGAGCCTCATCCAGATACTGGCGTTCATCTTCAGTCAGCTGTGTGCGAGAAGGCTCAACAAAGATGCTGAAGTTGGGCCTTCTCAAGTACACCTCAATGGGGCACTTTCCCTTGAGAGATCGATGGATCCTGCAGTTAGAGACAAAAATTAGGCGGACAGAATTAGCTCATTTCAAGTTTCATGCTCCAAAGCGTTCATCATGAGACCGGAACTATTCTACGGATTACACGGTCTTGTTCACCTGACGCACAGAGTCAGCTACTTTAAAGTAGTAAGTGTAGAGATGGTACCTGCAATTGTAGGTGAAGTAAAAGTACTCCAGACGAGAGGGCCAATCGGGTTCCTTCTGGAGGTCCCGGCGGAGAAAATTGGCTAGCGTCTGATTAAGACGCTCGACACGACCTTGTGATTGCGGATGGTACGGCCGTCCATTAATCTTCAGTGCACGCATTTCGTCCATGACAGCTGCTAGGCTAGAGTTATTAAACTCTCTGCCATTGTCAGTCTGCAATATACGAGGTGCACCATACCTATGAGCAATACACACACACACGCACACACACGCACGCACACGCACACACACACACACAAACACACACACACATGTACACATACACGCACGCATACACAGGAATCCAGAGTTATTGTAAGTTATCACCCATCATGCCACCTAACACACAAAAGGACATGGGGTGCAATGAATAACGAGTCAATTAGCACAACGTAAGTAAACACTGAATGAAATACAACAGACAATTTTAAATACATGAAAGGCAAGCTCACCTGTACATACAGCTGACAATAACATTGCAGACGGCCTTAGCGCTCTTGCTCTTGATAGGGCCACCCATAGCAAACCTAAATTTTACACAAATTGAAATCAATCACATGGAAAGGCATAGAAATCACTTTTTCAAATTGATATGGCAATTCATTTTCAGTTAACTTAAAACAAGCATTGCACGTCCTATCCACATTACATTATCTTGACACTGTAGAGACAAGTTGCACTGTGAGCTACTCACCTGGAGAAGCAGTCCACCACATTGCAGCAGTACTCGTAACCCCGTACACTCGGGAGCTTCTTCAAGTCCATTTGCCACCTACTGTTGGGGTAGGTAGCCAAGATGGTGCGCCGTGTGAGGGTGGTTTTCGGTAGAGGTGCCTGTCGATGGCAAGCAGTGCAGTTGACGTTTGTCTTAAATAATGCTAAAACTGTGTCACGCACAACTGCACATAAAAAAACACACACATAAACATATGGCAAACCAATGAATACATGAGCAGATGGCAATAATTAGCTCTTTTACGCCACATAACAGCAATTAAAAAAACATGCACAACATCGCTGACTACACTATAGAGTGAGCTTCAGAATAAACTAACCTGGATAATAGTTAGCCCGCAGCGTGTTGTAACAGGCCTCCCCCTGGCGATGGTCGCGCTCGTGCTCACTGATGATGAGGTCAATAAGCGACTGGCGAGTGACACAACTGCAAGCGATCAAGGACATGACCATTAAAAACTAGACTATGACATTGTATTGTTTTCCTAATTTGGATGTGATCTCCCATATTTTTGTAAACTCATGAAGAATTCACATTCACCCAGCTATCTAAACGTGCGTTTTCGAGTTCCTATTATGTACAGTACCACGGAAAAAGGTTATCAAAGGATCCTGACATGTGAAAGGTGACCACGCAGGTTCATGGACGTACTAAAATTCAAACTGTAAAATGCACAATAAATGTACCAAATAATTATAGAATCAAATTAACATTGACTTACCGACGATGGATCTCTGTGAGCTCCGTGGACTTGTGGAATAGGCAGTCTTCCTCCAAGTCAAACAAGAAAGTCTCGTAGTACCTCTGTACTGTGGAGATTGACACTGTCGTCGATTGTTCTGCCAGATGACTTGCGATTTTACGTTTCCCCCACTTCGGGTTCTCTGCCTTCAGCTTGCAGACTTTCTTTATTTCGTCGAAGGACGACCAAAAACTCTCGGCGTTTCTGTCCTTCGTCTTGGACACCGCTCGCTTTTTAGTTCCAATGCGGATTCCTCCATCCTCCGCCATGGTGTAGACGTAAATGGAAAGAAATCATATCAATTTTTGGACAAGCACGCCCTTATCTGGAGCTCTCCTCTTGGTCAAGCTCAATGGTTTGTACACAGTATACAGTTCTTCTTTGACTGAAGTCCATATGGGACGCACTGCGCGAGAGGCCACATGGCCCACCAATGTTTGAAAAGGTGTAGAGACCAGAAAGTCGTAAAATCCCGTTTTTGACAACACCCTGCTACAGACAGTACGTGCACTCGTCGCCAACAAAGGAGTAGACAGATCGATATTTGGACAAGTAGATCTATGGCCTTGGAGCTTCCCATGGCCCACTTGGTCCAGTTCATGGGACGCATTGCGCGAGAGGCCACATGGCCCACCAATGTTTGAAAAGGTGTAGAGACCAGAAAGTCGTAAACTACCGTTTTTGACGACACCCTGCTACAGACAGTACGTGCACTCGTCGCCAACAAAGGAGTAGACAGATGGATATTTGGACAAGTACGCCATTTATCTGGAGCTTCCACTTGCACTTGTTATTTTAATTGGCCCAGTTCATGGGCTTGTACGACTTTGGAAAGGGTTTGTACGACTCCAGTACCAGATTTGTGACTGAAGTCCGTACACGACGCATAGCGCGAAAGCGCCCCAACTTACTTTGAGAAGGTGTACTCGTACAGACAGTTTTGACGACTCACAGCCCTTTCTGCTGCAGACAGTCCACGTACTCCTGCCGGTCCTGGCTTAGCTAAAACAAAGGAGTAGAAAATACCTACTACTCCCTACACTGTACACAGGATGCCGTGACTGGATGAACTGGACTCCTGGACCGTGAATAGGGGACTTGTAGAAAAAGTGTACTCCTTATAGGGGATTGCGCGGCTGGATGAAGCTGATCAAAACTGAGTGGACTCCTGGACTCTGTATAGTGGATTTTGGACCAATGGACTCTATATAGGGTGCTGGACATCATATAGTGCATGGACTCTATACTGAGTCCTACATATAAATAACATGTTATTGGATATGTTCTTGGTTTAGTTTTTGGCCTTTTTCGTGCTTTGGAGTTGATAACATTTTCCTCACTGCGGTGAAAAAAAAACAAAAACATGTACATGTACTCCATACATATGGTATCCTGGCGAAAATCGATCGCTCATAGAACAAGAAGACAGCATCGTACAGCCTCCAAATTTCACACACTGCGTAGTTTTTCGACGCTGAAGACGATGGAATGGTCGCCGGCGTTGCGACCGGCCCAGAACAGGCCGAAATCGATACCCTGAAGTTGCGCAGGGCCGCAACATTGCTAAAATTCGTCGTGAGGAAACGGGACTTACGGTCTCAACAGCAGAGACATCTCCTCTTTCCAACAAAGAAACAAACTCGTCCTGAGCTGCTAAAATTTTACCTTGCCAAGGCAAGAAGCACAGTGATGTACGATTGTGCCACGGACCCCGTACAAAACTGTTTCCACTCAAAATGCGCCTGGGTTCGAGGCACCGAACACCCTACTTTTGCATCAACAGTCGCACAATTATTGGTGGCGCAAGGAGAAGCTTGTCGTTTGCCGGGCAACGCTGCCAGGAAACGGCGTTGCGAGGCCAGGAAATTATTATTTTCGAAAATTGTGATGTCTTCAAGTCTTGAAATACTAATTGGGAAAA